TCCCACAGAGGTCTGCCCCGCTTCATTCAGAATGCGATGTCGACCTGGTGTCGCCTGTGCCACGCACGCTTGCCGAGCTGAGTGAGGGTGGACCCAGCCCCGTGCCCGTGGAGCGTCTGGTCCAGAGCGAGAGAGACTCAGACAGATCAAGAGAGCAAGCGCACAGTGACGGCCCCGATATCCTTCACGAGTGCGGCCTGTGTCAACAAACCGGGGGACCCAACGGTGGAAGGTTGCGCAGCCGGGAAAAGGCCCGGAGTTCTGACCCCCGCCGCCCCTTGGAGGAGGAACCCTGAGAACGTGGTGCCGAGTGACAGAAGCAAGACGCAGAAGCCCACATCGTGGGGGTACGTTCCCAAAGATGTTCGTGGTCACAGTTGCACTGCCCTGTGGACACACCGAGCGCCACTGAACTCTACTCTGTGAAGGGTGAATTAGGTCGCAATAAAGCTGTAATGTACAAGAATAATAGTTGCTGCTCTCTTGCCAGCTCATCCGGGATGGGGGCTCTTCGAGGGCCCTGCCTGGGAGGGCTGCCGTCCACCCGAGGGCATCCACGGGCCCAGAGCAGCTCCCCAGCAGGGCAGTGGCCGGCCTGCCACCCCCAGCAGGGCCTTCCCTGGGGATTTCTCTGGTCATTTTCTTTCCGAGCCTCAGAGAGACTGGGGTGCGAAGGGCCTGCCCAGAGCCAGCAATGGCGGGAGGTACCAGCAAAAAGTCCTGCCTACCTCCCCCCTTGTCCCCTGCCCCACCATGTGCTGGAGGACAGCAGCCTGGACCCGGTGGGGCACCTCCCCGTCGGGCCCCTTCGCCTGCACCCCCCAGCCGCTACACCCACTACCCATTTGCAGTCTTCCGAGCCACAGCTTTGCCCCACTCCAACCACGAGGGAGCCAGCCAGGCCTCGAAGGACGCTGCTGTCACAGGCCAGGCCAAGAGGGTGACTCTAAGAGTCCTGAGGGCAGGCGGGTCCTGGCTGGGAGCCGTGGGGGCTGCCAGTGGCACACCGTCCCCTCGAGTTTCCCGAGCCTTCGCACTGGACTCTCATCCCGGCCCGGGAGGCAGGAGGTCAGGAGCATCTTGTCCCTTCTGCAGGTGAGGAGATATGACGTCACACAGGAGGTGGCAGAGCCCGTGGGACGCCAGGGTCTAGATTCGTCCCCCCAGATACCGGGCCTCCTACCTCTTGGAGAGCCTCCTGGCCTCATGGTGGGCTGGGCAAAGCTGGGGGGTCTGCTGGGCTGCTGGAAGCTGAGGGCCTCAGGGGGGCCATGAGAGGTGGGGGGACAGCTGGACCCCCGATGGCTGAGGGGCTCTGTCCGCAGCACAGGCCCTCAGCTGATGAAGAGAAGTGTGTGAACGATGTAGGTCAGTCAAACCACAGTATAACGGCCCTGCTCAAAGGGAGCGCAGGGTGAGGGGTGCCCAGCCGTTCCAGGACTGCCTTCTGTGTCAAGGGACATGGTCACCTCCCGGCTTTGCCCCAAGCGAGGGGTGTCTGTATATCAACCTTCTCTTCACAGAGACCTCTGGGCTCTTATTAATGATCCCCTCCCCCCGCGAAAGGCCCTTTCTGAAAATCAGAGAGGGCCCCTCAGAGGGAGGAGCCCCAGATGCACTGTGGTGGGAGGGAGAGCCCCCCAGGGGCCCTTACCTGCTCCCCACCCCGTGCACCCCCCGCAATTGTTCTCTGCCCTCCAGGCTGCTCAGCACGGGGGCAACAGGAAGCGTTTGTTTGTGACCCGGCTCCTTTTCTTGTCCCCCGTCAGACTGGGACGTCCCCAGGGGCCTGGGCTGCCCCATCAGAAGGGCTCTTGTGGTCAGCCGGGGAGCTTTCTGTCCCCCTGGGCCTTCCCTGCCATCGGCTTGGCCCAGGCACATGAGAGGCCACTTGTGAAAGCATTCCGGCCCCGCAGTGGGGCAGCGGCCCCAGGACTCCATTCCTGACCACTTTCTGGGCCAAATAGCCCAGTCCCTGGAGCCATGCCAGTTGGGGCTCGGGTCTGCCGCCTCCCGGCTCGGTGCCCACCTCCTGCCTGGTTCTCCCCGGGCATGGGGAGGAGCGCCAGGCCTGGTGACCGGCTCATTTCCCGGGGCCCACGTCTCCTTCACAGGGCTGGCTCGCCGGGCCCTGCTTCTCACGGGGCAGGGAGCTGGACTTCAGTGCTTGTCACTCTCCTTCTGGGCTAAACCAAGGGACAGAATTGGCCTCCACTTTCACTCACAAGGCTTTCCAAGAGGCAGAGCCATGGTGGGGAGTGACCGGGACAGGCCTTCCTGGGAATCTGCCCAAGGCTTTTTCCCCTGGTTCCTCTGGGAAAAGATCCAGAGAAAGATCGAAAGTGTCCCAGCAGAGAGGGAGGGGGTGGGGTGGGACCAGGTCCCGCCTGGCGGTCAGCAGAAGCCCCTGGGGCCCTGGGAAGCCACGAGGTTCCACCACAGCCAAGACAGCGTTGCGTTCCCAGTGGGCCCTGGGGAGGCCTGGCTGGGCTGTGTTGCTCCCAGAGTTCACTCGGACTCCTGGGATCCTTGTTGCGTTCCCGGCCTGCAGGCCAAATCCAGTTTCGTGGAGACCTCAGGAGTCACACCCCTTCCAAAAGGTGGGCCTGGAGCCAGGCTGCAAGCACAGCAATCCGCCTGCTGTTCAAGGATGGACGGGAAAGTCGGGGCTCAGCAGGCAGGAGCCCAGCTTCCTCCTCCTCTTCCATCCTGTCCACCGGGATGTGCCCGTCCGCAACCTATCTCCTGTGAGAGCCGGTGACGAGCACCCGACCCGGGGTGCCTGGACAGCAGCAGGGCAGGCCGAGCCCAGCAGACCCAGCTGTGTCGTCCGGGCACGCCGAGGTGGGGCAGCACATGTGGGCATGGGCTTCGCAGGCCCGACCTCGTCAGGCTGGCAAGGGTGCCAGGGGGACCCTTTAGCAGCTTTCTCCCCTGACCCTGCACCTAGCCCTTTGCTGATGCATGTCTTCAAGGACCAAAACGAAGGTGAGGGGTCCTGGCTTGGTGCCCCTGCCGCCGGCCCACAGTGAGCCAGGGGCATGTGGGTCAGGCAGAGCCAGGTTCAAATTCTGGCTCCAGTGTCACAAGCCCTACAAACCTGCATCCAGAATCTCCCTGCTCTGAGCCTGCTTCCTCCCACACCCCCACCCCCCAAAGGTCAGCGCCTCTTGGCGGCTCTGCTCAGTGCCAGGTGTGTCCTGCCCAGAGGCCACCGCGTCCCAGGGCAGCGTCCATCCGCTTCCCTCCAGCCTCTGCCGCATTTTCATTTTTCCTCAGGTTCTTATGGACACCTTCTCCCGCGCGGTGTCAGACTGTATTGTTCAAGGTGACAGACGGCTCCTCCACGGGGCCTGGGTGCCCAGCTGCACCCACGGCGGGCTCGGCCACAGCCCCTGCTCTGGCCAGTGAAACGTGAGCAGAAGTGACGCGCGTTGTTTCCAGGCAGAAAATGTCAGCCAGGGTGTGGGTGGCCAGGGGCGTCTACCTCTGCTACCACCGGGCACTGTCCCGGGAGGAGGCGCCTGTCAGCCGGGCCCCAGAGCGAGGACGACACAGAGCGGAGCTCGAAGGACAGGCGGCAACTGGAAGACGAGCCTCGGTTGTTGGAAGCCATTGGGACCCGGGGGTCCCACACCGGCTGCCACACATTGTGGCTGTTGGAAGTCTTTAAAGGGCCTCCCGGGGCCGGCCCCGTGGCCGAGTGGTTAAGTTGGTGTGCTCTGCTTCGGCGGCCCGGGGTTCGTTGGTCCGGATCCTGGGCACAGACCTACACACTGCTCATCAGGCCATGCTGAGGGGGCGTCCCGCACTGAACAACTACAGGGACTTACTTCTAGGATGTACAACTATGTGCTGGGGCTTTGGGGAGAAAAAAGAAAAAAAAAGTGGAAGATTGGCAACAGAGGTTAGCTCAGGGCCAATCTTCCTCACCAAAAAAAAAGGGGGAGAGGTTCCCGAGAGCCGTTTTTTTGGTCTTCAGCTGCTGCTAGGAGCAGCGGATAATTCAGTTAAAGTATTGTGCCTTGGGACATGGCGGCCCCTCGGGCCATGGTGGCCCCTCGGGCCATGGCAGCCCCTCGGGAGGTGCTCAGTAACGGTGGATGTCCTCAGGACTTGGCCTGTCTGCACACAGATCAGGCTGACACCCGTCCGAGCCAGGAGCTGACCTTCTCTCTCATGAGTTGCATGTCGGTGCAAATTTAGGCAACTCTCGGGGGAGCCCCTCCCGTGAATGTGTGCCCGCGGCCTTCTCCTTCACCCTCGAGCCCCGCCCGCTCCCCGTCCCCACCCTGCCACCCACTGCGAGCTGAGTGGGCGGAGCCTCCACAGGTGAGAGTACCTTGCCGGTCCACCTGTCCTCCCGCCCGAGGCCCGGCTTCTCCAGCTTGCAGCAGCCGAGGAGCCACGGGGCAGCTCTCCCCACGTCTCCTGGCTGTGCTCTTCCCACCGCCCCAGCCCGTGCCCGTCCCCTGCCATCCCGGGCCACTCCCTTCACCCGAGCTGTTTCACTTCTGTCCCCTGTGAGGAAGGCCGGCTCGGGCCCAGAGCCCCCGCTTAGCGCCGGCCCTGCTGTGCTGGCGGCCTTCAGAGTTCTGGCCTCTCAGCACCCAGCACGTGCTAGGGAGACGGTGGGTGCTCAGTACAGACGGGCCCTGCTCTCCTGATCTGGGGGCCTGGTAGCTGGCAGGGCCGTGGCAGGGTGGGGGCAGCTCTCTGCAGACTAGGCCACGATGGTCACATCAGGGAAGTAGGTGACGGGGCCAAGCGGCACCACCCATGGCAGTTGGGGGTGGCCAGGCAGAGCCACAAGGAGCCACGTGCCCCAGGTCCACGCTCCGATTCCTCTCCCACTCTGCCCCCTTCCTGCCCACTCCACTCCCGGCGGCTGCGGACCCCGAGCAGACCAGTTGTCTCTCTCGAAGGACAGGTTTTCGTGGTTGAGACTATTCCCCTCCCCACTGCCCACCAAGGACCAGGGGTCGAGGGTTTCAACAAAGGAAGTCGCAAAAGCCATGTCTCTTTATTTTTCATTCCTGCCGTTCAACCAGTTTGCGCAAGCTGAGGATGAGTGGATTTTGGAGGAAGAGAAGGAGCGTCTGGCACAGACCCTCCCGGAAATAGTCTATGCACACTGCTGAGGCTGATTAGACTCGAGAAGCAATTTAACAATAAACTCTACAGAATTAGAAATGTACAAAAGTGTCAAGGCGGCTGCTGGCTGGTTTCTTGCCTCCCCATGGGGGTCAGTTATGCCCACCAGTCCTGTGCAAAGGTCCTGGGGCTGGCTTGGGGTGGGGTGGGGCAGCTGGATTCTTGCCTGGGACAGGAGCAGTCCTGTTCACCCAGCAGAAGTGTGCCAAGGGACAGGCACGTGGGTGTGTGCCCAGGTGTCATGCCCCCTCAGGTTCCGTGGCTTTCAAGCGTCTCTGGGTCCTGCCTTATGTCCGCCCTTTGAAAGTGTTCATGCAGGTGTAGGTTCCTGAGAATTTGTGGATCTCCTCGAGGGCAGCCTGTGGGAGTATGCTGCGGGAGGGGGGAGGGAGAAGAGAGGATGGTCAGTGGGGGTCCAGCAGCCACATCCCTGGTGGCCACACAAGATGGCGCAGTAGAGTGATGGTTCCCATAAGCCCCCCCACCCCACAGCCACACACCAGCTCCTCCCCTCCACGGAGGAAGGGCTTTCAGGTAAGTGGACAAACAAGGTGAAGGGTGGATGGTAGACACAAACTTTCAAAGCCACATTCTCAGCATCTTGGGGCCCATGGGTATCTTGGAGGTCAGTTAACTCCACATGCCACTTGTTCAACAAATATTTACATGTGGGACTGAGGTGTTAGGTCCTGGGTGCCACCTCCTCCAGGGAGACTTCCCAGACTCACCCCTAGGCCTCCCCTTGGGCTCCTCATGGCCCCTGTGCTTCCCCAACAAGCCCTGGTGTTGTCCCGGCTGTTTACTTGTCAAGCCCATGGGAGCCTCTGTGGCCGACAGTCCATCCCTGACCCCGGCCCCGAGCACAGGGCCCGGCGTAGAGAAGGCCTCAGTCCATTTGCTGAATCAAATCGAAGGGCCCTGGCCCACGCCAGGTGCAGGACTGGAAAGGCTCGCTTCCAGCCAGAGCAATCTGGAAGACTTCCTGGGGGTGGTGGCACTAGAGTTGTGCCTGTAAAGATTTCTCTTGGGGAAGGTGAGAAGGGGGTGCAGGGCAGGGAAGGAGGAGGGGGTGGCCTCTGCTTCCTGTGGGAAAGTGGTGGGGGACAGAACAGGAAATGTAGCCTGGGGGTGTCCTGCGGAGAGCACTGGGATGTTTAGACAAACTAGCTTTTTTCTAGAATGTTCCAAAAGACTTCTCAAAAGCTCCCTGAGGTGGAAGGTGGCAGCCCAGCCTCGCTGAGGACCTGAGTCCCCGTCTTCTAGGGGCTCACGGAGGTGTCCAAGGACCACCTCAGGGCGACGGTCGGGATGGACCGAGGGCGGCCGAGGTGTGGCCGAAGGCCCCGGGATGCCCCCTGCCCGCGCCCCACGCTCTCGTCTCCAAAGAGCTTTGAGTTTGGAGGAGAAGGGACGGCTCGTGTCCCCTCCGCACCAGGTTTCTGCGCCTGCAGCTGGCGTGGCTGCTCAGCGGGGCCACCGAGCTCGCGGCAGCCAGAGGGGAGCCCGGGGCTGCCGTCTGAGGGGCGCTGGGGCGCTTTGCTGCCGGGCCGGGGCCAGGGGTCGGCCGGCAGGGGCCGGGGGCCGCGGCTGGCGGGGCCCAAGGAGCTGAGTCCACGTGCTCGGGCTGCAGGGTGGGAGCTGGGGCTCTGAGAGGCCCTTCCGTGTGGGGCGGGGATGGGAGGACTGGCTGCGCAAAGTCTGGAAGGTTCCAGGGGAATGTGCTGCAGGCGAATTCTGCAGGAATTCCTCAAGCCTCCTCGAGGTGGTCCGCCCGGTAGACCCCACCCGCCTGGCACTGTGACTCCCGAGCCTTTGACGTGAGACCCCCGTCTTCCCCTTAGACGGAACTTCCTGGAGGCGGCGGCCAGGCCTCAGTGCTGGAACAGCGGTTCTCAAAGTGTGGCCCAGGAACCCGGGGGGGCACCTGCCATCTCTTTGGAGTCTGAGAGGTCACACTGTCATTATAATGCCATTATTACTATAAAAATTTCCCTTTTCACTCCCATTCTCTCATGACTGTACAGTCAAGTTTTCCAGGGGCTACTGGACATGTGACATCACAACAGACAAAGATCAGACGCAGATGCAGGAGTCCAGCTGTCTGCAATGGAGCCAGATGATAAGAGCTTCGCAAACATGTAAAACAATGCCATTCTTCTCACTACGTTTATTTCTCTTTTTCGGAAAATATACTTACTTTTCATAAAAATATCATATTTACATTGACATGGAATGGGTTGGTTATTGCTACTTATAAATGAATAAATAAATATTTTAAATATAAACAGATGTATAAATCTTGTAAATTTGTTCTCCGTTTTAATTTCGAACACAGCAAGTAGCGATGGACACCACTGACATAAACAAAAGGTTTTTGGGCTCCTGCTAGATTTTTAACACTCTAAAGGGGTTCTGAGACCACGTTTGAGAACCGCTGCTCCGTCGTAAGGATGGGAAATCCATGGCACACGGGCCGCCCTCCTCGTGTCCAGCCCACGGCAGACATGGCCAGTCGATCACCGTGTCCTGGGGCCCCTGCACACTGGGCTCCCTGGGAGCAGGGCACGGTGGGCACAGGCCTGACCCGGAGCCCCTCCCGCTGCCCTGTACCTCTTCAAGATGACAAGGGCGTGCATGGTCCATGGGAGCAGGAGGAGGGCCTGGTTGAGCTGCACGGCTTCCACCGTCCTCCGCGCCACCGTCTCCGGCTTCAGCGGGGGGAAGAGGTTGGGGAACCTGAGGGCAGGAAGAGGCAGGTGGGCTTCTCCTGGAGACGCGGGGGCGTCTGCCACAGCCTCGGTGGCTGACGGGTCTCGGTCATCCCTGTGGCTTCTCCTGTTTGGGAGACTCCAGACCCCTTTGGAATCCTCTCCCCGCCTCCCCCTGGCGCCCCCAGAGTTCCTCAGTCCCTCACTGCTCCGTCAGTGCCCCCTCGGCAATCAAGGACTTAGAGCCCACCCAGCTGGACCCCCTCTCGGAGCACCTCAGGGGGTTCTTTTGAAACGTCCCTCAGATCCCGTCTCCCCCCGCTCACCTCCCAGGCCCCCGGCGCTGGCTGCTCCCTCTGGGCCCTGCCTCCCCCGACCCCTCTCCTCCCTTCCCGCTCTGCGCTCTGCGCCAGCAGGCCTGGCCAAGCTTTCTGTTCCTGTCACTTCGGCTCTTTCCTCTCCCAGGTCTTTTACCAGCTGGCCCATGAGCCTGGCTCCCTCCTCCGCTGTCCACTCAGAGCAGCCTCTGACCTTGTCCTCTTGCTGATTTCTGTGTTTCCAGCATCTAGAAGGGCCCTGCCCGTTTGCTTGTTTCCTTGCAAGTGGCCTGTCTCCCCCATCAGACTGAGTCCCCCCAGGGCAGAGGTATGGCTGGTCTTCCTCCCTGCTGTATACCCTGTGTGCAGTGTCCAGCAGACAGCAGGTGCTCAATAAATGCTTGCAGAGTGGAGGAAGACTGGACGACTTGCTGTTCCCCCAAATGTGTCCTGCTCATCCTGCCTGGAGGCAGGGGCTCTGCCGGGATGCCCGTCTCCGCCCAGCTGCTGGTTTCACTCGGGCATTCATTGATTCATTCAAAGGTTTACGGAGCACTTTCCATGGGTTTGATGAATGAATGAATGATTGAATAAGCAAACAGCAGGGGCTTCTCATGCCTATCCAGAGGCATCTGAGCTGAGACCCACTCAGTGACGATGCTCCCTAAGAGCCAGGCCTGGGCTAAGTGCTCAACAGGAATCATTCACTCCAACTTACAGAGAGGGAAACTGAGGCCCCGGGGAGTTGGTGGGGCACTAGGGATTCAAACCAGGCCTGCTCGAGCCCCAGGCCAATGCTCCGTCCCCACCCTTGCTCGCTGCTTGTCCCACGGCCCCGGGGCCTGGAGGTGCAGGGCTGGTGCTGCTGGCTCCGACCTCCATCCCACACAGGACTCGCGAGCTGCTCCGGCACCAGGAGGATTAAGGGGATGAGTCACCTGGGTCTGATGTCACCCTAACAAAGTGCAACTCCTGGGCCCCCAGCGCGGGCTTGGTCGGCCTCAAGAGTCCACGGCGTCCCCCCGCCCTGTGCTTCCTTTGCAATTGCGCTGTGCTGCTAGGATGCCCACAGCCCCGCGGTCTGCAAGGGCCCGCCTCGGGGGGCCTGCAGAGATGAACATGCCGGGGCAGCTCACCGACACTGGAACCCTGTAGACACGGAGGACAGTCGGGTCCCCCCAGCGTCCATCTGGGCCAGCCTGCTACGTGGAGGAAGGGAAGACGGGACGGAGGGACCAAGACCCTTCCTGGTAAGGCCCCTGCAGGGGAACCTGACAGAGGACCTTGCGGCTGTGTGCTGGAGGGACCTTCTCCTTTTCCTCCACGGTGGGTAAACCGGAGGCTGGCGGAGCTATCAACTTCTGGAAAGAGCACGCTCAGTATCTGTGCGGCCTTCGCTTCTCGGAGCCTCGCTCCCTGTCTGTAAAACGGGGCTGAGAGCTCACTCTCGAGACGGCTGCGCGCCAAAGGCAGCAGCGTTTGTGGAGTGTCAGGTGTGAGAGGAACCTAAGGAGCCGTAATAGCGATTTACAAACACCCGTATGGCCACTTTTGCCAGAAAACCCGTCCGTTTTGTCCTAGGTGCTGGCTCCCACCCTCGACTCTAGGAAGCTGCTCAGCGCAGCTGGGAAGGGAGCCAGCGCTTGGCTTCCTCTTTTCCTCATTCAGGAAATGGGAGTTGGTGGGGCATCAATCATCCTTTCACTTTTCTTCCCCCTGGGCTCACCTGCACGACCACAGGTGACCAGGCTTCCCGGGCGCTCACTGCTGGCCAGGCGGGCGGCTGACGCACGCACGCGCAGCAGCTGGTCTGACCCTCGGAGAGGCGCTGCTGTTATCTATCCCTTCTTACAGACGAGGAAACCGAGGCACAGAGAAGCTAAGTGACTTGCCCAAGGTCACACAGAGCTGGGATTTGGCCCCAGGCAGTCTGGGCCCACACTGTGAACCACTGTGGGAAAAGGACATGGGGAAACCTTTCCTTTCCTTTGACAGTGGTGACGGGGTGGAGAGGAAACTATGCCAGAAGGTGAACCGGACACGCAAGGGCAGGTCTGCGAGCGTCCTGCCCACTTCTGTGCTCCGGGCGCCCAACTAAAACCTCGGGTTGCCACTGCTGCACTTCCATCCAATATGCATTTATTGAGCACCTCCTGTATGCCCAGATGAAAAGAAACCAAACCACAATGTCATAGGAGGAAAAAGCCAACATGGAACATTCAGTCATTAATCCAGCCTCCTCTGCATTCAGAATCTGTGATAATTTGCATGCAAGTCCCGTGGAAATACATACTCCTGCGATAAACTAAAGATACGGCCTGCTAGGAGGATTCATAACATATGCGTTTATGAAGACGTTTGTTGTTAGTAAAGATAATAAGAGCAGCAGCTTGTATTGAGTGTCTAGGATGCCCCGGGCTCTGCTCCAGACACGTTACATGTATTATTTCTAATTCTCCCAATAATCCTACAAGGTAAACATTATTTCCTCTGTTTTACAGACGAGCAAAGTAAAGCTCAGAAAAGTAACAAAACTGGCTCAAGATTCCCCAACCAAACAGGCGTGGTTCAAAACCAGGTGTTTTTGATTCTTGATCAACAAAACCACACTTGGCCCTCTTCACACTAACGAGAGGGTACCGAGTGGTTCCCACAGGGCTCGCATGCCCACTGCCTTCCGCCAACCGTCTCACCGAATTCTCAGTGTGACCCTTCCACGTCATCCTCATTTTCTGAAGAAGCTGATACATATAATTTAGAAGGCAAATCTATTATTATACGCTGCATTGCAAAAAAACAAGGAAATCATTTTTGGATAATTCTCTAGTTTCATTTATCTATAACCTTATGACCTTCCACAGCCGCGCATCTTCACGGCACCATTTACTGGGCGCTGACTATGTAGTACATATGGTGTTCCATGGGGGTCCCATTTTATCCTTATCACAGACCCCTACGTGTAGACATTCTCCTCATCCCATTTTACAGATTAGCAGTGGAGAATGGAGTAGGAGCTAATGGGACCCAAGGTCACAAAGGACATTGTAGGCACAGGTGAGTTGGCACCTTGGGTGCCCGGCTGCAAAGCGGGAGCTCAAAACCAGTGGTTCTCGTTGGTCTAACTGGCCCGCAGGAGCGGCGGCTGGGCTGCGGTCTTTCTTTAAAGTGAGCTATAATTTGCGTGCAATCAAAAGCATAAATCCTAAGTGTGCAACTTGATTAATTTTTACTGACGTACCTACCACCCAGATCAAAAAGAGAGAACGTTTCTAAAAGCCTAGAGTGTTCCGTCGGGCTCCCTCCCAGGCTATATCCTCACCCTTCCAGGGGCGGCCACTATTCTGGTTTCTATCACCATCGGCCCAGTTTTTGCCTGTTCTAGAACTTCATACAAACGGAACCACACAGAAAGGGCTTTCGTCTCTGGCTTCTTTCACTCAGCGTGATGCCTGTGAGATTCATCCACGTTGCCCGCAGATCAACACTCCGCTCTCCTGGGATGGATTGGGGGTAAGGGCTCCACCGCACGCGTGTAGCACAGGTACTCTGTCAAAGCCCCCTGCCCGCAGAAGCAGGACCCCAACCCCTACAGCATCCCGCTGCCCCACGGACGCAGAAGCAGGAATGAGACCGCAGAGCCACAGCCAAGGGGCTGCCGGGTTATTTCCAAATTTCAGTGCTCTCAGTGCATACCAAGGTCTCCCCGGCCCAGGGTGCCGGCGGGACTTGGGTGTGGGGAGGCGGCCCCTGCTCACTGACCTGACCCTCATGCCCTGGAACATCTCGGTGCTGGTGTGGAAGGGCAGCACGGTGGTGGCGCTGACGCCCGGACAGTCCAGCAGGCCCAGGGTCAGGCTCTCCATGAAGGCGAAGGCCGAGGCTTTGGACGTGCAGTAGTCGATGGCGCCGGGGATGGCGGACAGCGCCAGCACGGAGTTGAGACACACGATGTGGCCGTTCTGCAGCTCCAGCATGCGCGGGAGGAAGGCCTTGGTGGTCTGAGGGCGTCGGGGAGGTCAGCTAGGGCCAGCCTCCCACAGCGCCGCCCCCCACCGCCCCGCAGCGGGGACAGACCCTGGACAGGCGCACTACTCCGGTGACCGAGCCTTCCCGGGACGGGAGGGGCCCAGGGCTGCCTGCTCCGGGGCACAGGGCTCCACGTGTCAGGAAGTCCCACGTCTCCTGGGGCTGGTCACGCCTCTCATCTGGCCACTTTGTCCTTGGACGTCCCCTCTTGGCCTGAGCCCAAGTCCTAGTAAGTGTCTCCCCCACCCCCTCCCTTAGGGCTCCTGGGGTCCCTGGGGGAGGAACATGTCAGTGTCACGCCCAGGGCTGGCTCTGGCCCAGCACAGCCCTTACCCAGAACTGGCCCAGGGTGTTGATATGCTGGGACTTCAGGAGGGCGTCATCGTCGCTGTCCATCAGGCTCCTCCCATGGACCACGGCGGCGTTGTTCACCAGGATGGTGATGTCGCCCACCTGCGGGCGAGAGGGAGCCGCAGGGCCGTTAGGGCTGCCGGCCCCAGTGGCCTGAACCTGCAGGGGCGAGACCTGGCCCCATCACCCCCGGCCGCGTGGCCTTGGGCAGCCATATCGCCTCTCCGAGCACCAGCCTTGACTTGTAAGATGGAGCTAATAACCATACCAACGTCGTTCCGAGGATTAGAAATAATGGCTGGCGTACCATCTACCGGGTGCAGAGCACATTCATAATAAATGAGGTTATTGTTGCATAGAGATAGTTAACGTTTACCCTGGGCTAGATACTTAAAGGGTGGTGTTTGCTCTCTTAGAGCTCATAGATACACTCGGTCTAGACAGACGGCTGGAGTCAGAAGGATTTTCCCAGCAAGCAATGGGACGTTTGCCCCCCAGGGTCTACGATGGAAACTCACCAAGTCTAAACTTCCAGAGGCGACAAGAGGTGGTTACTCTTGTTATGTAATCAACCCACACTTAACCCCTGCCCCCTGTAACACCCAGACATACATGCACACTCACACGTGTATGCACACATGTATATGCGCACAAAAACTGGGCGAGCTACACGGGAGAGTCCCCAAAGGTGCCCAGAAATAACCAACGCTCTCTCCCAGGCCCCGTAAAAATGCCCTCTTTGGCTGGCATCCCCCGTGTCCAGCTGAGCCGAGGATGGACTCGCCCAGGCTACCTTCTCCCGGACAGCTTTGGCCGTCTGGTACACCTCCTCCCGGTTGCCCACGTCACAGATGAAGTAGTGGCACTCGGTGCCCATCTGCCGAATCTCCTCTGTTGTCTCCTTCAGGCATTTCTCAGTCCGGCCCCAAAGAACAATCTAGGAGGAGAGAATAACAGCACTGAACGGGGTCATTAAGCAAGCCATCGTGGTTCAGTGACCGTCATCAGAAATTTAGATCCAGGACTGGCCTCCATGACCCCACCGAGAGTGTGCAAAGTGAATTAACGAGATGATTTTGTAAAGCGACGTTGCCCCCTCTGACGTGAACCATGGTTTCTGAGCCCATTCATGACCCATCGACTGATGCATTCTTTGCAAATCTTTCTGAGGCCTTCCTTCCAGCGGGACGCCTCCTGCAGCCTGATTCCAGTTATCTACACAGTTAGAAGCAAGAGCAGAGCTCTTTCTGTACAATGTTCCAGAACGTTCTCAGTTAGGAACAAGCCGGCCTTTTCACAGATCTGGTCTAGAGCCAGGTTTATGACCACCGTCCACTGGAAGGGACTGGGGGTTCTGCCGCGAGGTGCACACAGCCCAGCAGAGCCTCCCGCCTAGCCGGGAAGGAGCGCGAGCAGAGGCTCCCCCGGGAAGGACACGCCGCCTCACCCCGAGGGTGATAAACGTGGACTCGTGAGCCAGGAGGTGACCCTGGCAGGACTGAGAAATGGATGCTTAAAGGGGTTAGACAAGTCTATGAATGGCCAGCTATGAAAGGCTCAGGAGAGAAGCCTGGCTAATTCTCAGCCTTGACCTAAGCAAGAATGACACACCTCCCCTCGATGCGTCATTGGGACCAAAGAGGTCCCAACGTGGGGACGAAGAGCCTGACTGAGACTCAGCTTAGTCAGCACAGCGGGAGAAAGGCCGGGGGCTGGAGAGGACCAGAGCAAGGCAGAGAGAAAGGCTCCTTGGGGACTAGTCTAATGGGTTCATGTGTTTGTTTCTTCTCTTTCTCTTAAAAATTACCAGTGAAATTCCTCCTTTAAAAATAAAACCCAACATGGAAACCCCAACGTGTGAAACCAGTGGAAGGAATAAATTACACGTCCAACTCTGCATTCGCTTCCTCTAATGAGGACAGAAAGGCTGTGTTGGGAAGACAAACACTTTCCAGAGGGGCACAGACGGAGCTCCAGTCACACCAGACCTGAGTCCAACTGATTTCTGTATTTTGCTTTGTGACACGATATAGAGAAAAGGCAGACAGACGAGTAGTCGTTGGTGGGACAGTTTATCAACTGTTTACCTTGAAATATCAGAGCTTTCACTGAAGCAGAAAGGGCCGCCAGTGGGTGTGGCTGGCGGGACACACAGATGGGCTGGTGGCCCCCAATGGATTTGATCTTTTTACTAGAATTTTAAACATTTTTGAAAAGAAAATAAAAGTGTTTTCTCAACCCCTGAAACATCTTTGGCAAAGCCCAGTCTGAAAACCCCACCTAGTCCAAGCACTTCATTTATTTTGATTGAAGTCCTGAAATACAGGAAGGGTTTTACGAGGGCGGAGTCCATCGGCGGCTCTCCGTGACCACAGAAGTCCCTCGAGGGCCATCGGACTGCCATTAGACAGGCTCCAAGGGACACTTTCTTGTCTGCTGAACTAAAAACAGACTTAGCAAGTGTTCTTCCAGGACAGACTGGGGACATTCACTTCACAGACAAGAAAGACACAAACATCTGTTCTAGGAAGGCAATTTGGTGTAGGCGTGCTCCACTCCACCAGGCCCCACCCTTGCCTTGTAGTCATTGTCACCCTAGTTTCCTGCCATCCTCCCTTGTCTCCCCATCTGTCTGTCCACCCATCCTTCCTCCCATCTGTCCATCCACCCATTCATCCATCCACCCACCCACCCAAACCTTCCTTCCTTCCTTCTTCCTCTTACCCTTCCATCCATCCATCCATCCATCCATCCACCCATTCATCCATCCATCCACCCACCCAATCCTTCCTTCCTTCTTCCTCTTACCCTTCCATCCATCAACCCAGTCATCCATCCATCCACCTAGTCATCCATCCATCTACCCATTCATCCATCCATCCACCCACCTAATCCTTCCTTCCTTCCTTCTTCCTCTCATCCATCCATCCATCCGTTCACCCTCCTTTCTTCCTTCTACCCACCCCACCCCATCATCCAACCATCCATCTAATTTCTAAGTATGCCAGCCTAAGGTGAAGGGAATCCTTGGCCTTCTTTCTCCTGCTTGGTCCCTGCCCAACCGCATCGCACCTCCAGCTCATATGGGGAACAGGACCCTGGGGCTTGCACAGCTCCCTGGGGTCTGGCTGAGGCAGAGAGAGGTACCTCTGGGGACTCTGAGAATTTCTAGACAAGCCGACAGAAAGGGGAAGCTTAAAGCTGGGGGCCTTGTTGGAAGGCGCAGGGGTCCAGACACCTGGGAGCACCAGTGATCACCTCAGAGGGTCTGGAGCAGTGGCCCAGATGGGGTGCCCTTCATTCTGGGAACCCTGGGTTGCTTTTCAGCCCAAACAGGTGTGCGTGAGTTTCCAGTGGAAGGGGCACCAAGGGCCTAGGGACTCCTGGTCCAGATGACTAACTTGTCCTGGCCCCCCCTAGTCCTCAGGTAGGGTTGAGGAGGGCAGGGGTCTAAGCCCCCTCTCCCCCCGGGTCTGCCCAGGAAACTGGCAGTCGGGGAACCAGGGAGGCCAGCACAGTCATGGCTGGAAGGACGCCCTGGAGAGGGACACGGGCTGGGCGAGGGAGGTGAAATGAAGGCTGCGTCCCACCATCTCCCATGGGTGGGGGATGCACCCAGGTGGGACCCTGAGGTTTGGCCATTTCCTTTCGGGGGTCTGTTGGGGACACCCCTTGTGGGCTGAGGGACTCCTCCTCACGCTCTGCACTCAGAGCCCCCACCTCTGCCTGGGCACCATGACAGCTGTGCTTTCTGCCCTCCTCACGCCAACCCCACTGGGCTGGGAACCCCCTGCGGGCCTCGGTTCTGGCTTGTCCATTATCATATCCCAGTCCCCAGTAGGGCATGTGCTGTTTGTCGAGTGAACGAACAAAAGTTCAGGATCACAGATGGGATGGGGTGGGAGGTAGTGAAACGGCCTCTTTAAGGCCCAGACCATCCTATCTTCCTTGCCTGAGCCATTTAGGGTCCCAGGACATTCAACACAGATCTAGTTGGACCAAGAGTCACTGAGACCTGGGGTTTCCCCAAGAACCTCAAAACCACTGTGGCGCTGAGCTGCGAGGAGCCAGGTCAGAGGCTGGGACCCTTGAAACGGGGCATGGGGTCAGTCGCAAAGGAAAACGAGGCTCAGGCTGGTGAGTGTGTGCCTTGCTGTGTGTCTCTGTGCCTGGGAGTGTGCGTCTCTGTGCCTGTGAGTGTGCGTCTGTGTGTGAGCGTCTGCAGCCTTTTGCGCCGCTGTGAGTCTCCTAGGCCCTTGGTAGATGCTCAGAGTCCCCGGGGAGCCAGGCTGGGCACGTTCCCGTCTTAGGACCCAGGTGCATCTCCACGGGGATGAGGTGGCCCAGGCGGGTCCACGGGGGATGGGAAGCGAGGGAGACAGCTGAGTGGAGGGAGCGGCCGGAGGTGCTCCAGCCACTGTCCTTCTTGCCTTCTCCTCCTCCTCCAGTCCCCTGCCCGAGCCCTCCCGGGACTCAGAGTCACTGCCCAGGAAACTGGCAGGTACAGCTCAGCACACCTGCCCTGGGCTCCTGCCCAGACTCACCCGGGGCTGACCCCGGACCGCTGACAGCACAGGGCCCCACCCAGTGCCAGCATGAGGGTGCGGAGCGGGCAGGCGGAGGCAGGGGCCCGGGAGGACGGCCTGGGCAGGGGGCAGAGATACGAGCCCAACACGGCCTCCTCTTCACGGACTCCGGGGACAGGGGGCAGCGGGAGGGTCGGCGGCCCCGAGCTTACTCCTAAGCCGGGTTTATACTCTAGGGGCTCTGGGCAGCTCAGCGCCTCCTGGCCGCCCTCCCCTCTGGGGCAGACACTTAGCTTCTGTCCTCCTTTGAGGCTCCTGACCGGTGAGGGGGAGGGGAGAGGAGACAGCCCTCCGGCCTCCCGGCACAGGGCCCACGCTGGCCACGGCCACCCTGCCCAGCCAGGGCCTCTGAGCACAGGCACGGCTTCCTGCCCTTCCCCACAAGGCTGCCTTCTGCAGCCACAGCGAGCTGAGCCCCCGAGCGGCCCCAGAGCTGAAGGCTGGGAGGACCCTCTCCTTACAGCCCGGGAGGTGGGGTTCCAGGGAGCCGAGGAACCCCCCAGAGTCACACACAGCGCGGGGTGGAGGCAGGACTCAACGCAGAGCCTCTGTCCTCTGCAGAGGCTCCCCTGAACCCCACAGGGGACAGCCAGAGCTTCGAGAGTCCCGCTCCCGAACTGCACGTGTCCTGGGACTGGCGTTCATCCCCCAGCCTTTCTCCTGTTTCACCTCCTCCATGTCCGCAACAACCCCACCCATCGCTCCCCAGGACCACTCAGAGGGCCTGCTGTGGGGACCCAACAGAGAACAAAACAGACAGGTCCCTGCCTCCGTGAGCCTATGTTCCAGTCGGGGAGACAGCGAAGGAAGGAGAACACAGTGGGACACAAATTACAGTGAGTAGGGTAAAGAATAAACGAGGGAACCTCATTTAAAGTGGGGGATTTATGAGGTTGCTATATTATGCCCATCACAGAGAGAAGGAAACTGCAGCCCAGAGAGGCTAAGCAACTTGTCTGAGGTCACACAACAACTGAATGACAGCTGGGATTTGAACCAAGGTTTTTCACCACCACTCTCCCCGGAGGAGAAAAGCCATTTCTTCTCTTCCTGGGGTCTTGTGGGGATTCAGCACGCAGGAGCTGGCCCCGACTATGTGTTGACTGTGTGTTCTCTGTTATTATTTCCCACGGAGAGGAAGGGCTGAGAAAATTCCAGCCCAGCCCCTTGACACACCCTCTTCTGGAGCCATGAGCGTGATGAGCGACGATGACATGGAAAAATGCTCAGGGATCTAGTGTTCAGAGCCAAAGGGCGCAGCACTGTCCACATAGGGTAATCTCAACCCTGAAAACCGAACAGGCTCGTGGAAGTCACCGGCTACCCGGGAACCGGGGTTGTCTCAGGGTGG